CACACACACACACACACACACACACACACACACACACACACACACACAGTTGAGCATAGATTATTCAAAGAAGGATCTTTCACCCAAATATGAAAAAGGAATGTTCAGGTTGTCTAGAGTTAAGGAAAGATGTAGGTACTTACCATAAAAGCAAATAAAGTAAATGTAAGTGAAAGATCATGGGCAAAGATAACACAGGAAGGCAAATTAGATGAAGCAGTGCTGAAGTTAGCTCAGAATTTAATGGAGCTGCCAATCACTTTGGCAAAAAAACAATTGTCCTTTATGTGCAGCTATTTCACAACTCATGTACCTAAGTGTGCTCTCTACTCTATATTTTAATATTGGCACATTTGTGAAACTGCTAGCTTCATGTTGGCATTTATACGGAATTCTCTCGGACATGCCTGGGTCTTCAAAGATTTTCATGTTTTCCTCATGTGAAAGAAAGCAGGTTGAATGTTTCTATACAGTTGGTCTGCTGTATAGAAAAAGCAGTTATCTTGTTAAGGTGGTGGGGAGCTCAATGTGCTTTGGACCTGAAGAACCCAGTGTCTCACAAGGAAAAGGGTCAGAATGAGATCAGTGCACTCACTCTGTTTAGCCTTTGCTCATCACTTTTGCCTTTGGAATCACCCCATGCTTCTCTGCTCATGATTTAAGCATGAAATAGAAATGAGATGGGGCTGGTGAGCTGTCTCAGCAGGTAACTCATCCGTGAGTGCTGCTGATCAGCATCACCTAATTAATATTAAACTGCAGTTAGCACCATCATGATTTATATACATGGTTCACTCATGACCAGGGTGTGTGCTTAATCTCAGCACGTGAGTTGTGGTGTCTTTTCACACTCTGTTTCTATGTGTCATCTGCATTTCCAGGGATGACCCATGTCATTGCTACACTTTTCTTGGTTTTCAGGGAGTCAGCTTTCAGCATTTACCTCTCGGCTGGTATGTACAGCACACAATGATTTTGAAGGGGCCTAGGCGTGTAACTCAGTGGTAGACTGTATTCCCAAGGATGCTTGAGACCCCAGTTCAGTCTTAGAACTGGAACAGGGCAACAAGGAGAGGGGTAAATTTTCAGTTTGTGCAATTGAAACTAACCACCCCTAAGAGAGTAAAAGCTGGCATTGTCATAAAGATCATGTGGAGGTAGCTGACAGCTGTAGTGAGAATTTTGAAATTTTGGTTTCTTCTAAAACAGAGAAATATTAAAAGAATATGTTTCTGTTTTAATGCCTGGTGTGGGAATATGGGTCTGCTTTGCAGCATCTAACTATGGTTTGCCTTGTGCTCTAGCAGAGGCATGGTTTTGGCAGCTATAGATAGTATTGGGAACTGTGTAACATCAGAGGATATATAAAAAGGGCCCTGAGAGGCAGAGCGGGTGTGGTGGCGTACTGTTTGCTGTTGGCTGCTGTTGATCAGAGTTTCTTAAGTAGTCATGCACAAAGAAGAAACAAGAAATCAGATATCCCGACTGTGAAGATCAAACTTACTCCAAGGAGCTTGCTGCCCCTAACCAGCAGGAAATAGTCTAATGATAACATCTCCCCCTTTCTGACTCCTGACTTTATTTAGGGATCTCTTTTCTTTCCTCTCTGTCCTCCCCCCCCCCACACACACCATATCTAGTGTTAGGGGGTTGAAAGAGAAGAAGAGGTGGAGAAGGATGGAAGAAAGAAGGACCCTCATAGTGTCATATATCAGTTATAGGCAGCCATTTTTTTTTGTTTTGTTTTTAAGTCCTGGTTCCCAGTTTTCTGTTTCTGAAGCATAAATAGGACCTTAGACCAGAGGTGACAGAATCTTCTCAGTGATTTGGCTTCATGATCTCCCACAAAAAAGCTAGGATAATACTCAGTCAAAACAGACAGGAGCTATTGTAATGTGAAGGACTGCTGGAGAACAGTTCATCAAGTACAGATAGGGTATAGTAGTACCTTTGTTTCCCTTCCTACCTTGACAGTACTATGCTTAGCACATTGTAGGTACTCAGGAGAGGTTCACATGTTTGCAAATGAACTCTGAATTCTAAACTTTGTTTTTCAGAGTGAGCTTCTCTTTGAACAGGTGCAGCCCCAGGGCCATTTCCCCTTCCTGGAACTAATTGTCTTTGACTTCGCTGGCAGGAAAGCAGTTCAGTGGTCCCAAACCTATCATATCTTCAGGGACTGTCAGAATACCGTTTCCTTGCAGTCCCTCAGAGCTGATAGTATGACATGGGTAGAGAACAGTTGGGTCTTTAGCATTAGACGTGCTAGGCTTTGTAGTCACCCGCTATTGATTGACCTTTGGCATTCCCTGCATCCCCGTACCCTCATGTGTACAATGAATACAAATGAATATTTTAATTCCCATGATTAACTTTTTAAAAATAGCCTGACTCGGTGTTTGACACCTCAATGTAATGATAACTCTCAGGACTTGGGTTTTCATTTTTCCTACAAGCCTGGGACTCTTTATTTCATAAGATCATCTTTTATCAAGGTGGCTTTCCTCCCATCTTCTCTGATGGCCTTTCCCTCCAATCTCCTCTCTCAATCAAATTTCTGATCCTTCTACCGTACCTCTTAAATACTAATATTATAGATGGGCACCCCGGCTCCTGGTTTGTTGGGTGCTGGGTATTGAACCCAGATCTTCGTGCTTGCTAGGCAAACATTCTGTGAACTGAGCTATATCTCCAATCCTCTTTTTTTCTCCTAATTTCCTCCCTCACATTTTTTTTCCTGTAAGCCAGAGGGCCTTTCTGAATTTGTACCCTTGTTTTTTTGGAGGCTCTC